AGGAAGTCCAACTCTGAAAGGTCATGGCTGAAGTCTGGGGACAGAGTGTTGTCTTCCTGGTCCTGGTCCTGGTCCTGGTCCTGGTCCTGGTCCTGGTCCTGGTCCTGGTCCTGGTCCTGGTCCTGGTCAACACTGTTTGCTCGGTGCCAGGCTGAAGCCAGGTGATGGCGCTGCTGCTGCTGCTGCTGCTGCTGCTGCTGCAGCTCAAGCAGCCGCTGCAGGAAGTGGATGTAGCGCAGGGCGCGGCGGAGGATGTCGTTCTTACTGAGCCTCCGATCGGGGGGGTGTGTGGGGAGCAGGTTCCTCAGCTCAGCGAAGGCTCCGTTCACGTTCTGTTGTCTGAAGCGTTCTCGAGTGTTAGTGAGGACACGACGGCCGAGACGTCCACCTGAGGACAGAGAGGGGGCGGGGCTAAGGTCAGCTGACAGCTTGGATCTGCTGGGTTCTGTGGGTTTTTTTGTGGACAGTTCACCTGGTCTCCCACTGTTGACAGACAAGTCCGATGGTGTCTTCATGGTGTGTCCACCCAGGTCTGTGAGAAGACACAGTCAGTTGTTATTACTCCTCAACATTTGTCTCCATACAACACCTCCTCCTCCTCCTCCTCCTCCTCCTCCTCCTAAACACCTGCTGTGTTTGAAGCCTCTGATAAATGTAATGTAATGCACAAGAAGAAACAAAACTGGACAGACGGGAGTAGTGTCGCCCCCTGCTGGCAGCTCAGTGACTCACCTGTTGAAGGTGTGTGGATCAGGTCGTTGAAGCTCTGTGAAGTTGTAGGACCTGAGCTCTGCCTTTATACCCGACTGAGGCCCCGCCCCCAAACCTCCCCCACACCCACACAACCAGAGGATCGGTGTGTGTCGTGACGCCCCCTCCCCGCCATAAATCGGTCCAAGCTGATTACAGTCTGATTTCCCCTGAGAGATGCTGCAGCTGCAGAGTCCGCTGCTCCACAGTTCCGCCCACTGCTGACGGAGTCGTGTTTTCCGCTGTCACGACCTGGAGCATCTTCATCTTCATCATCATCATCATCTTCATCATCTTCATCATCATCATCATCACCGACAGACGACAGTGTGGCAGTAGCTGCACCAGGACAAGATTCTTTTTTTATCAAACTTTTGTTGCTGTTGTTGTTGTTGTTTTAACCTTTTCACAAGTGAAACGTTGATAAAGTTTCTGGAGAAAGTTGACACTGAACGACTTTTACTTTTGGCTTGGACTGTACTCTGGTCTGTTACTGCCTCCTAGCGGCTGCTTCCTGGAGGAGACTGGATGAAACTGCGACTCAATTCCACGCGGTTGATTTTTAAATCCTGATTTTCTGGCAGTAGAACTGAGGATTTTTATGTTGTTGTTATATTTTTAAATGATTTTCTGTGTGTATGACTTGATCGGTTAGTGATCGGTTAGTGATCGGAGGTCTGTTGGTCTCTCTGACCTACACTCAGGTTCTCACGGGTAACGAACCCGCGCTGATTCTCACCACACGATCAGATAAAGTCACTAATTGAAACACGCCCCCTGTCTCCTCCGGGAGCTGTCAGCCACTCTGCTCTGATTGGTTTAGATGTTAATCAGCCACTCATCATCGACGTGTTACTGTGGCAGGACACGCCTCCTGTGGCTGTCAGTGGGAACAGCAGGGGAAACTGGTGGGAAACACCGAGTGAAGACTCAGCCAAAGAAATCAATGTCAGCGTCAGTGTGTGACATCAGAAGAAGACGTGTTCACGTCTTTGTCCCACTAACCCGCCCCCTCCTGGCATTTCAATATATTACGCTGCCAATTGACGATTACCAACCAGCGACACGCAACTACCGGCACTAATCACAACGAGTTTTTCATTGTTCAAACTAAATGTGGAATTACTTGGGTCAGTGAATGGAGGTGGTTGTTTAGCTCGGTGCTAACGGATCAAATGTGTGTGATAAAACAGTAAAACAGTGGCGTTTTATGGAGTTGGAGGTTTAACTTTGAAGTGTCAGCTTTACGTGTTCATTTAATAAACTATTTGGATGAAGTCAACAAAGAATAAAGTCGAATATTCATTTTAAAATCTTCTTCAAGATGGTGTTTATTATTTGCAATAGTAAAAGTGTATTTAAAGTGTAGTTGAACTCTAGGTCCGACCTCATTCTCACAGGTGCATGCTGGGAAACGGTGTACTCGGGGGATTTCACACCGTAGCTTCTCGGCGGCTGGTAAACTCTATTACCCAGCATACACCGCGGGCCAGCAGGTGGGGCTGGTTCTTGTGACGGCACAGAGGAAGAAGATGTCCATCCGCCAAAGCTTCACATCCACAGGAATGGCGGCTCCGCGGCTGCACACCAGCCCGAGGTCCGCTGCTCAGCTTCGGCCTTAAATCCGACACCAACGCCGCTGGAGCCGCTGGAGAAGCAGCCCCTGGAGCTGCTTCCTCACGGAGGCCAAACTGAGCTGAGCCGGACCGAGCCGTGCCGCTGTCATCGGCCCCTTCCGCTAACGATGCGGAGCTAACCGAAGGACTGAAGCGTTGACAGCACCGCACCCTGATACCAGAACCGAACTCCCCCCGAATCTCCCCCGTCACCCCGCTCAGGTGAGAGCACGCTGCACCTGCAGCCGAACCAGAACAGCCCGGTTGTGGATGCGGTCAGTTCCACAGTGCTGCACTTACACCGCCGTGTTCTTGATCTAGAACCAGCCGAGGTGCTGGTTCTGACCAGGTAGTACGAAGACGTCACGTGACCCGTTAATATAGTAATATTAAATCATTGTTGTTGTTGTTAAAGGTTAGTGTGTTCAGTATAATGACTGACACACACACTGTAGTAGTGTGGACTGTAGTGTCAGCGCCCCCTACTGCAAGAACCATCCTGAGAAACAGGCTGGTTCTATGACAACAGAGACACTGGGACGGGGGTCGGGAACCTATGGCTCGCGGGCCAGATGTGGCTCTGTGGATGACTACACTGCGTTAGTCATAAATAATTTGACTGATATTTAGGTCAAACATCACAGAAACCATCAATAAAATCATCTTTAAAAACACATTTGTGTGTATTCACGGCGGCAGTGTACTGTTGTTGTGTTGTGTTAAATCATCAGGTCCGTCCTCTGTTAGAGCGCAGCGGTGGAGTAGTGGTTTAGTGACTGGCCCTCGGTCAGGAAGGCTGCAGGTTCAAGTGTCACAATGACAAAAAAATGACTTTTGTTCTGTTCTTTCTATTTGAGGCATAAAAACAAAGTCAGTCCACACACACACACACACACACAGAGAGAGAGAGAGAGAGAGAGGTCTGAAGATGAAGAAAATATCCCAAAAATTAAAGTTCATGATAGAATTAATCAAATGACATGTGCCCCTATCATGAGGACAGCAGAGTCTCACTGCTGCCCCCTGGGGTTCACCACTGTTAATAAACTGTTCTGTTTGACAAGTGGAACCATATATTTAGAACAGTGACTGTAAGAACCAAAGAAGACTCGTTATACAGGAGTTGACCACAGGTGGCAGCATTGTCAGGGGGTTCACGTGACAGACGGCTTCTCTCCGAGGGCCAGCCTGGAGCTATGACTCGTGTTAACAGAAGGGGGCACTAACATTTTGACAAGTCTTTTTGAGACAGTGTGATATTACACGTGTCAGTGTGTGTGACTGTTGCTCTCTACCAGCAGGTGGCAGCATGGAACGCTCCGGCAGCATCCAGCTGGACATTCCTGACTTCAGCAACTCAGTTCTAACTCACCTCAACCAGCTGCGGGTCCAGGGCCGACTCTGTGACATCGTGGTCAATGTTCAGGGACAGAGTTTTCGCGCTCACAAAGTGGTGCTAGCTGCTAGCTCGCCTTACTTTCGCGACCACATGTCCCTGAGCCAGATGAGCACCGTATCGCTGACCGTGATCCGGAACCCGTCCGTGTTCGAGCAGCTGCTGTCCTTCTGCTACACCGGCCGCCTGTGTCTGCAGCTGGCCGACATCATCAGCTACCTGACCGCCGCCAGCTTCCTGCAGATGCAGCACATCATTGACCGCTGCACGCAGATTCTGGAGGGGATCCACCTGAAGATCAGCCTGGCCGACCTGGACGAGGAGTCCAGGGAGGAGCCGGGCCGAGCGGTCAGAGGGGGGGGGGGGGGGAC